TAAATCAGACAAAATATGACTTATCAACCACCAGAGATGCTGCAAACTCTTTCCATTTTTTTTAAAAACCTCTTTAATTAGTAATTTAATTATTTATTTAACAACCATGCTAGAAAACAATTTCTCATCAGAGCTTAGTAAAAGTTTGTGCCCTTACTTTGGACATTTTCCAATTAGATTAAATGTATAACCTTAAATTGGCCATGGTAGGACCCAAAATTGGCAAAGAAAAGTATTCTGCTTCGCTTGCCGCCAGCTCATTCAACCACTAATTAATATTATAGCTTAATTTAAACTTAATTAATTATTTTGTTTGACGATGTTGCCACAACATGAGTAATAGATTTATAATTTACTATAGCATGGATCCATGAGGCACCTTTTTTAGGATTTTTTTTTTTAAATTAAAAAAAGTTCACTTGGTTTTGCATGATTAAAAAGCACCCCTAGATATCATTTTGAAAGGTTGATTAATCAAACTCAAAAACCAAGTAATCTTGGAGACTTGTCGGTCAATAGGATTTAATATCAAGACTAAAAGGGCCAATTAGGTTTCCTTCTATTGGTGGGGGCATAAATGCAAATCAGTAAATTTTACAAGGAATATCTCTCTGGTTGACCTAATTAATATAATATATATATATATACACACACATATATATACGTTTAATCTACCCTTTTAAATTAAGTTTGCTCAAGCTGGTAACCTCTTGGGAGCATAAAGAATCCTTGCCTAAAAAATAGCGATGCAAAAAGCTAGTCCAAATTATGATATATTTAATTATTATCCATAGTGATTTATTATTATTATTATTACCAACTTTTATCCTTGTATTACAAATTATGATACGACAAGAATAAATAATCAATACAAATGATCATATATGAAACTTGCTCTTTGGGCTAAATAAAATTTATGCTCCGCGCTTCAAGCCACATATAATGAATTGGAGAATCTGTTTTTAGTATGACAGTTTTTCCTTTTGGAAATTATTGTCTAATCTGTCATATATAGTGCATGATTTGGTACATATTGATATAGACATATACATGACAAATGGCCTTTTTTTTTTTTTTTTTTTTTTCTTTTTCCCTTGAAGATAAAAATTATGCTATAATAAAAGATAGAGTCAAATTATTAGTAAGGAAAGAATTATTCCTTAGCTTCCATAGTTTTCCCTTACAAGATAAGCTAACATGCACTTCAGTACTCAATATCAACAGAATATATTCAATTTTCCTTTCTGAAGAAGTAGAAATTATTCATTTTAGACACACTCATAATAAATTCACTGTACTTTATTTATAAATTATAAATTTTTTACGAAACTTTAGAGCCCGTTTAGTACATAAATTTATTCTCTGATTTAAATTATAATTCGTGATTTATTACAGTATTTTTTTTTATAAAAAATACACATAAATTAAAAATAATTTTAATCACATTGTTTAAATCTATGAACCAAACACAATATAAGACAACCTGATATAGGTACATACAATAAATACGGTACTCCATATACAAGTGGTGTCTTTTTTTACCTCTTAATTAACAAAATTGCGACAGCTAGTGAAATACGGGTTCCTCCCAATGAAAAGGACTGTTCCAAAACTGGGTCAGTGTTAAAATTTTGATTACTTCAGTGGATGTGACACACAATACAGACGAGATTAATCCCTCAGGCAGAAATTTTTGGGACGATAATAGGAGAATTATGCAGCATTAAGTCCATTTTATTAATTTAAATTTTTAATTTTAGTTTTATTATAGTTAAAAAATCTCATATGTTCTGTTTATTTTACCGATTTGAGTTTTATTATATTAAAAAATTTTAAAAAATAGTCACATTTAACTTTTTTATTACAGTAAAGAGTTCTCATATAAAGTCACGTACATCTTAATTCAAATTAAAAACTCGAATCAACGAACTAAACGGGTCCACAAAAAGTCACATGATCACATCTAACTTTTATGCTACAGTGAAAAACTCTCACATAAAATTACATCTTAGTTCAAATTGAAAATTTGAATTCGTCAACTGAACGATGCCTAAAAAATTACACTGATAAAGGAAAATTTTGAGCTGTAAATTTTGTTTTAAAATTCCATTAAATTGTTGGACCATAATAAACGTGCATATTAAGTACGTAACTAATGATTTATTTGTTTTTTTTTTGTTTTACTTTTCTCCACTATAATTATTAGTTAAATAATTAGTTCTTTTAAATAATGCATTTTACATTAATCAAATATAACTAGCAACAAAAGCCTAACTATTTAATTTTTCTATTATTTTATTCTTTTAATGTAAGTGTTTTTTTTTTAATTTCAATAAAGTTATATATATATATTTTAGATTCAATATATTAAAACGATCTATGTTAATTAAATAAGAAAATATAGTTGTAGTAACTCACCTAAAATTTACTAGTTAAAATAATTTTTTAGTTATTTAAATTAAAATTTAAAGAGATCCTTTTGCTCTTATTGTTCCTACCACAATTCTCTGGGGATAACAATGTCATTTGATTAATGTCCTACAAAAGGGAAAAAGAGTTTTCTTCAATGAAAAAGAAAAGGGAAAAAGGGGATAAAGAAAAGTGATAAAGCATATGCCCTAATGCGTGTGCACGTCCCCCCACAAACAAGAGAGGGGTCGGTGGATCAATCTATTTCTAAACGTTAAAACTTTATCGCATAATGACTTTTTTCATCAAAATTACAATAATAACCTCAGGTGCTCGACACTCAAATCCCAAAGCATGTTTTATCAAATGTCATCAAGTTTTTTCATGAAGAGCCTAAATTACGATATGAGGTTATAATGAGGTATGATTGTGTGTCCCATCAATCAACACCGTTCATACCGACATTATGGGGAGACAAACTATGATGGAAGACATGACCATCAGCGTGACACGTGGGGTTATGATCCAATGGACTACACGGAATGGTTCTTTGGTCTAGTTTGTAGGGGATTTTAACCTCCATATTTATAGTGTCCCCAACCCCAAAATTAAATTCCCAAAGAAAGATCAAAGATCAGAGGAGCAGTGCTTTATGAATTTAACGGCATCAACCCATCAAGTGGAGGGAATAAAATGGAATCTGTGCCTTGCTATGTTAGACCCAGAGATTTTAAAGGTCAAAAGGAAAATAAACAAATACAGTGGAGGTGGTATAACGAGAAAAAAGATTAATACTTTGTGTTTAGAATTGATCTTATTTTTATTTTTTATATTTTTTAAAAAAGAAAAAATAAAAATATTTTTAAAATGTTATTTAATATAATAAAGATAAAAAACAGAAATGCTAATAATTTATTGGTTTAGTGTAAAATGAGAAAGAAATAAAAAATGACTTTTAGTTATTTTTTATGTTTTATTTTCGTTTTCTTCTCTCTAAGCAGAGAGAGAGATATTAATGAGTTTTTTTATACTAAAAATAATTTCTTAATAAAATTAGCAAACGCATTCTTAAAAATGATTTATGTCTGAGATTGAAAACGTTTTTATTTTCATTTTCATATAAAAAATAAAATTATTTTAAAATGAATTCTAAACGCATCCATTATGATTTTCATATTAATGTAATGAATCTATTCTCGCATTAGTGTATATTTCTTATTATTTTCTTAAGACATATTTAGTTCATATATTTAAATTAATAATTCTTAATTTTAGCATTTAAATTTTAAATTTTTTATAAAAAAAACATTATAACCTAATTAAAATCATAGGTTTAAAACCCCATAAAACAGACTTTTAATATAATTTGAGTTGATGTGATTTAAACTTCTCGTTGTCAAGTGACCATTGGGTCCCATTGATTTCCTTGTTTTTGAGAGTGATAAAAAAAAAAAAAAAAAAGAACAGAAAAAACTCATTAACAAATGGACGAAAAAGGACACCAACGTGTTCCTTATCTGGACCGGCACTTCATGGTCATCATTGTCCATTTAATTGACAACAACCCAAAAGAGGATTCTTCTCTCTGCCACGTGTTATTCCTAACAGTGCAATCTCACAAAAATAAACAATTAAACATAACAATAATTAGAAAACAAAATTCTTTCTAATACAGGACGTTTAGTTTATAGATTCAGAATCATAATTCAGAATTATTTTCATTTTATGTATATTTTTTGTGAGAAAAAATACTGTAACAAGTCACGAATCATGACATGAATCTCCCTTCTAAACGTCTCCTAAATTACTATATATGTTTTTCTTTTATTTTATTTGACTTGAGATGAGCATTTAAATCCTACACTTAATCGCTTGTATCTATTTTTCTAAGGGTATTAGTATTAGTATGAGTCCTAGAATTACCGCTTGTATTATCTCTTTCAGACCTCATTTATTTTATTAATTTTGATTTTTTTTATAGTTAAAAATTCTCATAAAAAATTAAATTTAATTTTTTCTGTTACAGTAAAAAACTTTCACTTAAAATCACATCTAAATTCGAATTAAAAATTCAAATTAACAAGATTATACTTTCATTAACTACTAAATTATTACAACTTTTTAATAGTGGTCCAATGTTTAAAAGTCTGCCTCAGCAAATAAAATAAATATTTGAAAAAATATAGAATTATTTTTAAGAGTATATGAGAATAAATTTTTACTATTTATTTTTGATAAATATTTTTTTATTAATGTAATTATTTAAATAAAAAGATTATAAATTAAAATTAAAAAATAAAAATTCTGATTCATATATTTTTAAAAAAATATATATTAAGATTACGGTATATTTTACTACAAACTGTCCTGAAAATAAATAAATTCTTCTTTTTTTCAAAAGAAAAATAATTCTTCTATTTTTTATCATAAGGAAAAGGTGAGTATTTTAATAAATAAATAAACAAAGTGAAAGAGAAAAATGCGGCTAAGTCTGACGTGAGCTTGGGGTGGGCATCCCAGATTTGCAGCCAAAAGAAGCTTCCCTCAAATACACACCAAGACCGGACACACACACAGTCATCACTCACTCTCTCTCTCTCTCTCTCTCTCACTTTTCTTTTTCTTCTCTCTCTAGAACTGAAAAACAAGAGAATTTACGAAAGGAAGACTGATGAGCTAAGAAAAGAGAAAGAGAGAGAGAGAAATGAATTGGGCCAGAAAACTGAAAGAAAATACGAGAAATTCACGATGAAACTTCATCAATATTTCGTTTTCTTTTTGATTCTCCCACAACTGGTCCTCACCTTAACCAAAAGTTTCGCCATTGTTGATAATTTGTCTCACAGGCGAATTCTCCACCAGCCATTGTTTCCGGCGAGCTCGGCGCCGCCTCCGGGGACCGACGACTCGACGGTATCCTCTTCTTCTCCTCCTCCCCCTCCGCCTCCGTCGCCGGACGCATATTCGACTCCAGACCAGCCGTTCTTCCACGAGATCCCCAATGGACCGACGCCGGATCAAAGTCAACAGTCTACGCCTCCAAATTCGCCTTCCAACGGCACGGTCGCGATTCCGACCGCGACGCAACCGCCGAAACCGATTAAGAAGGTCGCCATTGCGATCTCCGTCGGAATTGTCACGCTCGGGATGCTCTCCGCGCTCGCCTTCTTTCTCTACCGCCACCGCGTGAAGCATCCGTCGGAGACGCAGAAGCTTGTTGCGGGAGGAGGGGGAGGAGGAGGGAGAGACAATTCGCAGAGCTTCACGGAAGATTCTCGGGTCCCGCCGTCGAGCTTCATCTACATCGGAACCATGGAGCCGAGTCGGACCTCGTTGAGCGAAGCGAATGGAGGACATAGCAGAGAATTGGCCCCGAACAAGTCGCCGTACCGGAAGCTGAATTCGATAAAGAGATCGGATCGGTACCGTCCAAGCCCCGAGTTGCAGCCGCTTCCGCCGCTGGCGAAGCCTCCGAGCATGAATTCACCCTCCGCCATGGATTCTTCCGACGAGGAGAGCCGCGAGACGGCTTTCCACTCGCCTCAGTGCTCGTCCGTCAGTTACGACGACAGCTACTACTACACGCCGGTCTCTCGTCAGAGCGGCAAAAGCAACAACGGCAATGCTTCTGTAAAGAGTTCCATTCCAATGCCTTCCGTTCCTCATTCCAAAAGAACTTCCCCCAAATCGCGCTTCTCGAGTTCGAAGCAAGGTCTCCCTCCACAATCACCTCCTCCGCCGCCGCCTCCACCGGAGGAAATTCCGGACGGTGAACAAATAGCTCCGTGTGCTCTCAAGAAGCCGAAATTTTCAGCTCCACCGCCAAATTTGGTGCGCCTTCAATCCACAAACAACTCACCGCAATATGTATCAAGAACGGTCGTTCCTCCTCCTCCTCCACCTCCGCCACCGCCGCCACCTCCGCCTCCGCCACCGCCACCACCGCCGCCGTCATCGAAATCGGTTCCAAAAAAAGTTGGAGATTCGGAGAGGATTATAACTGCGAAGCCATTGCAAGCTCCCATTAAGCCACAAGTATGGGCGGCAATTCCGAAATCCGCATCCGAGAATGGAACTGTGAAATCTGAGCAGAAAGTTGATGATCACAGCAAGAAAGAAGCCGGTTCTTCAGAAGCCTTCGACGCGGATGATTCCGGTGGGACGAAGCCGAAGTTGAAGCCTCTGCATTGGGACAAGGTTCGCGCGACGTCGGACAGAGCCACGGTTTGGGACCAGCTCAAAGCAAGCTCGTTTCAGTAAGTAGAATTATTTGAAGCAATTTCGCACGCAGATTTGGATTTCCATATGAATTTTCTGATTTTGTAGGATGTATGTATATAAATTCTTTGCAGATTAAATGAGGATATGATGGAGTCTCTGTTCGGATGCAATTCAACAACAAATTCGGCTCCGAAAGAGGCGATAAGGCGATCGGTTCTCCCTCCGGTTGAGCAAGAGAACAGGGTTTTGGACCCAAAGAAGTCGCAGAATATAGCTATCTTGTTGAGAGCGTTGAATGTGACAAGAGATGAGGTTTCTGAAGCTCTTTTGGATGGTACGTAATTTCTGTTTTCTGCTAAATTATTAGATTCTTTGCTCTTTATAGCAATGGGAAAATGTAGAATTCTAGTTTTCTATTTGTTTTTAATAGGTAATTTTATTTAATATACATGTATATGATTGAATTTTAAAGGGCCTATACTGTGTCTTCCGTTCTGGGGTTGAGAAAATAAGCAGAGGAATCTTTAGTATGAGAGAGAGAAGATAATGGAGGATATCAAAACGGGAATTGGAGTTGACGATCTTGAATGTGAAGTAATCATCATTACTCGCTACAATAGGAAATAGTAGTGATAAACATTTAGCAGCATAATTCCAGTTACATTATTATGTTAGTTTTCAATTATTAAAAGTAGGAGAAAAAAGTAAAAGGCTGGGGAAAACATGAAGACCCATGAGAATGGCTCAACAGTAACTTCTAAGATGGAAAAAAGATGGTTGTCAGACTCCCAATAATCCGTGGCAACCAATTACCAACATCAACGATAATTATTGGTTTCATTTTTTTGCATATTCTTGCATCTTTTTTTTTTGGGAGAAATTTTGCATGTTCTTGCTTATGCAGGCTTTTTGAATAATCAGAATGAAAGAAAAAAAGAATGTCCATAGTTGCTTGCATCTTAAATTATTCAACTAGCTTTTGATTCTAGGTTATTATTACCGAGCATGCTTCAATCTAGTGTACCCTATTTTTGTTTTTCACAGTTGAGAAAGCCTCTTTTGACTTTGATTTGTTGTACCCTCTTTATGTGTCATTGCTTGTCCCTTTCATTTCTACAACAAATCTCCTGTTCCATTCTACCCATATAATCACTTATTGAGATGCATTAGAAACGAGCATAAACCAACATGATCCAAAGAGGAACGGACATTACTTTAATAAACCGAATGAGTTGAGTTGGGAATACACCTAAATAATCATAACGCCGTCAACAACATATATTAACATATGACAAACAAAATTGGTTTTACACTCTCTCTCTCTTTTTTTTTTCCTTTCTTTTCGGGTAATAGTATATTGTCAGTTACACTGCTACAAAAACCTCTATCGATCAAACATCTTTTTCTTGACACATGACAGTATCAATTGCGTGAAGAAACAACTCGTCTAGTGCACTTTTCTGATATTTGTTATGCTATTTGCTTTAAATATACAGTTTCTGTTTCGACCAGCCTTTTGTGTTTGCTAATTGCTGACTCGTAGTGATTAATGTGTTGGACATAATATAGGTAACCCAGAAGGATTGGGTCCTGAGCTTTTGGAAACTCTGGTGAAGATGGCTCCAACAAAGGAAGAAGAAATTAAACTTCGGGACTATCAAGGTGATACCTCAAAATTAGGGTCTGCGGAGCGCTTTCTCAAGACAGTGCTCGATATCCCGTTTGCCTTTAAAAGAGTTGAAGCAATGTTATACAGAGCCAACTTCGATACAGAAGTAAAATATCTGAGGAAGTCCTTTCAAACCCTGGAGGTATTTATGACTAAAGATTTACAGTTAGCATTATCTAGGTCTTTCAATCTTACGACTGCAGACTCCAAATCATACTGCCTATTTATTTTTCCAGGAAGCAAGTGAAGAACTAAAGAACAGCCGCTTATTTCTTAAGCTCCTTGAAGCTGTTCTCAGGACAGGAAACAGGATGAATGTTGGCACCAATAGAGGTGATGCTAAATCTTTTAAGCTTGATACACTCTTAAAACTAGCAGACATCAAGGGAACGGATGGAAAGACCACGTTATTGCATTTTGTGGTCCAAGAGATTATTCGGTCAGAAGGTGCAAGTGATTCCACAAATGACAATGGTCAGAACAAAATCAAGGAGGAAGATTTCAGGAAGCAAGGATTGCAGGTTGTGGCTGGTTTGAGCAGAGATCTCGGCAACGTAAAAAAAGCAGCAGGGATGGACTCAGATGTCCTCAGCAGCTATGTGACAAAGCTCCAGATGGGGCTCGAAAAAGTCCGATTAGTTCTGCAATACGAGAGGCCAGAAATGCAAGGGAAATTCTTCAGCGCAATGAAGCTGTTTCTAAAAGAGGCCGAAGAAGACATCATTAGGATAAAGGCCGATGAAAGAAAGGCTTTGTTCCTTGTAAAAGAGGCGACCGACTATTTCCACGGGGATGCAGCCAAGGAGGAAGCCCATCCCTTCAGGATCTTCATGATTGTTAGAGATTTTCTAGCAATACTGGATCAAGTGTGCAAGGAAGTGGGAAGGATGCAGGAGAGAACAGTGATGGGTTCGGCTAGATCGTTTCGGATATCCGCAACGGCTTCATTACCGGTACTCAACAGGTATAACTTGAGACAAGATACCAGTTCAGATGATGAAAGCTTGTCGCCGTAAAACATGTGAATATTAAGAACATGGCCCTCTTAGGAGGAAGGTTAACACAAGTACTTACACGGTTATTGAAGAAAAGGAAAAGCTATATGGTGAAACTCATATTCCTTGCTAAGAGGTACCTGTCAATTAACCAGATAAGGGTCCTGGGAGGGAGAAACATTTTGTACGAGCATTTCGGATGCATAGAGTCGAGAAGTTTCTAGAAACAAAAAATAATACAAGGAGAGCACAATGTGGGGAGAAATTTTCATCACTTTCAAAGAAAAGGGCAATTGGAGGACAAGAATTCACAGCCATCAAATCAAACGAAGTGCATAGATAAAATGAAGCAATGCATCCTTTGTTATATATCTATATATTTTTTTTCCCAACTCCAACACATATGCCATAGTTACAAACAATAGGTCTTTTTTATATCTAGATCAGATTCCCACACATATAAGAATGTTTTGATGTCAATTATGATGCTAAGCTCTGAATTTGTTTGATTATTCATTATTCTTAAAAATAAGGGGCTATTTTTTATTTTTATTTTTCCCCTTTTTTGAGCCTTTTGCTTTCCATCACTATCTTCCTCTTTCCTGAGCTCTTGTCAAACAATAAATGGAGAACAAAAGGAGTCAAACAAAACAAAAAGGAGCACAACCTACAGACAAATAGAAACATAGAAACAACCAACCCTACAAGAAACAACTTTCGACAAAGTAAAAGGGGTCCAACAAAACTTAGGGGCTCAAGCATTGAATGAACACAGAAAGAAACAACAAAAGAGATTAAAAGGAGTCCCAACAAGAAAACGAAAGCTTCAACATTTATTAGTTCTGTCACTGCAAAGTCCTTCCAAATAAAAAAAAATAAAAAAAAAAAGCAAAAGAAAACCCATATTTCTAATTAGAAAATAATTGTTTAGCCTTTTCCATTATAATGAAATGACTAGTGATGTTTATCCATTTCTATGCTTTTAATCAAACCCAGATTAGACATAGAATTTTGTTGTAAGGTTTAGCTTGGGCTGGTAAAATTGAGAAAATGCCACTTTTCAAAATCTGAACTTTCAGAAAGACAGAAATTCCAAGTCCGTGAAATGGCATACAAAAACCACCCTAAAGATTGAAAAAGAGGATTGGAATTTTCTTTCCTAAGTAACTATGCTCGTGAATTAATAAACAAATAAATTTAGGAGTTTGAATGAAAAGAAGCTAAATATTTCTTAAACGGCATATTGATTCTCAATAATAATTAATTAATGGCGAGTGAAAAGTTAAAAAGTTTTACTTACCCAATTAAATCAAAGCTTTTACTTTGGCATCTGCATTGCGACTCGCGGTGAAATCTCCCACGGAAGTAAACTCGATGACGGTGAGATTGGCAGTCGTACTTGTAGGTTTTAGATGGGAATTATTAATCACGAGAAGCAACGTCGTTTTATTACTTTTTTTTTTTTTTTTTGCTGAAATTTAAATACATCTCCTTGGTTTTTAAGACATGAGAACTTTTCAACTGACTTTGAATGTCCCAATTCAGATTGTAAGAACAAGCAGCGGAAATAGGAGGTAATCAAACATGCCATCACATAATAATGTTGTTACAAATATTCATAGGACATGCCAAAATAATCAACTTCTTGTATATAATAAGCAAACGGTCATTAAGGATCCGTTTAGTTTACTGATTTGAGTTTTTAATTCGAATTAATATGTAATTTTATGTAACTGTTTCTGAAAATTTTTTATTATAATAAAATTTAAATTGATAAAATGAACGGACCTAAATAAGTGACAGAGACATTAAATCCCGTCATATTAGAGAGAGACGATATCTGGGTCCGTATACAAATTGATGGATTTTTGTCAATATTCTCAATAAGAAAAGCTGGTTTTTCATTGAACGACCACCGAATTGAGTTTGGTTTTGCTCCGTTGATGTCATATTAACACAGCTCGCCTTTGATTGAAACATGCAACAGCTCTCAATAAAAGCAAACAAAATAAGTCTTGCGTCTACCCAAATGTCACATCGCCAAGGGGTTTGCTTTCTTTACAACAGTTTCTTGTAAATTCTCTTTAGGTAGAAAATTTATTTATATAATATTTTTGGTGGGAAATGAAAAAAAGTACCCTGTGGTATATTCGGTCTGGTTTGCATATTTTTTTATTTTGACCATATTTAATGTTCAAAAGTGTATATCACACAGTGATAAGTCGGATCTTCAATCCATCAGATCAAAAAACCAATTTGCACCAATTCAATATCTGTCACGATTGCCCCATGATATTCTATCAATACGATCATGATCGCGCTACTCGAATAAGCACAAAATTTCATAGCGCAAGAATCTTTCTTTGAACTTGTATAGTAGATAGAAAGAAAGAGATGGAGAAAATATCACGTATCCCATAAATAAAACTATCGAGAAAGAGAGAGTTGAGAGATGTGTATTTTCTACAGTGACAATAGTCATTATTTAAGAGTCCGTTTAGTTCGTTAATTTGAGTTGAGATGTGACTTTATGTCAGAATTTTTTACTGTAGTAAAAAAGTTAAATGTGACTGTTTGTGAGAACTTTTTACTATAACAAAACGTAAATTTTAAACTTGAATTAGCGAAATAAACGGGACTTAAGTAATCGCCGTAGTTATTTAAGTAGCCCAATTGAGTCATTCATAGACTCAAAGTTCAACATTGACAAGCCCGATAGTTATACCTCCTTTATAAAGCTCCGGTTATTTATTGATAATAGGATATTGATGGATTTTTACGTGACTATTGATTTAATACAAAAGAAACTGGTTGGTCAAAAATATCAATGGTTTAGAATTGGACAAAATCTTTAATAGCACAAGATACGCATGGAAAAAAAATGCGATTCTAATTTGCTTCATATTTATTGTACATAGCGATTGACTGCACTACAAAAGAATTGTCATTATCGAGGCTTTTAACACAATATAACTAACATAACTAGCTAGATCAATCTGTCATGAAGAAATAGTCAATTGCCCAAGAAAAGAATGGCCTTCCTGAGATGGCATTTGCTCTCAAAATATTCTTCACTAATATTGTCCACTTGGTCTCCTCTTTCTTACACTGCTTCCTACTTCTCTGCTTAAAATTCCTGAAACAATATGACAAAAGTTAAGTGAAATTACTTAAAAACAATTAAAATCTAGAATCATTATTGATCTCAAATCTAAGGACGAAATGGAGAAAACAAGCTAAAACAAAACTCACCTACACAAAGGAACTCCACAAGCATTAGAATCTGCACATAGGCGAGAGTGTAACTCCAAAAGTTGCCACATTCTCTTGCAATGAATGCAGCCACCAGGGACTCTCGATTTACAGCCCGCGAGATGTCGAACAAGCGACTCGAGTCCCTTGCAGGCTGCAAATATGCAAGGATCCTGGTTTGGTTTTAAGTCCTTATCATTAGGACCAATTGTCCTACAACCATCTCTGCATATGTGAACAAGAGCCTCCATTGCCTCACATAGTTGCAAATAGATCATCCTCTCATTTCTCTTTTTGATCCTTTCCTTTTGCCTCTGAAGGAATTGAACATAAGAAAATGAAGTTAGCTCTTATATCCCATTGTTTCGGAGATAAGGTAAGAAAATAAGTAAGGAAGAGAGAGTTACACTGTTTGCATCGGTCACAAATCTTCTGAGTTGACTTTCTAGCACCGGATGGCTCTCCTTCATCACTGTCCATCCTTCGGTAGCTGAAATAGATTTATAATTGTTAACGATTATACGTTGACAAAGTACACTAAGCCTAGCCGCATCACACAGCAATGCAAGTTGAAATATATCAACTACATTCTCTGTGGTGAGCAAACCGTCCTCTAGCCGCCGCTCACATTCTTGCTTCAAGTGCGGAACTACGTAGACATGCGAAAGTACCAGCAAGTGCAAGGCAAATTCCTCCATATCTTCCTTTTCAAAACTGCACAAGGAGAACCAATAACAGTCAAAGGCAAATTCATTTTTGAAAAAGTGGTTTTCTGTAGTTTTTGCAGGCCAATTTTCCTAGGCTGAAAGCATAATATTTGTGACATATGAGCTAGTTTGTATTTGCCATACAAAAGCAATTTATATTTGTACTTCATATCTATATTAATTTTCCATCAACAGTTAAGAGAATAAACCAATATAATATTACATACTAAGTTCTGAATTTTGATCTCAAGGCAAGTTCTAGGCATTTATTACAGGGCAGCAAAATTAGTGAAAGATAAAACTATAAGAACCTATCAAGGAAGAAACTTTTACCAGGAAGAGTATAAGAATCGAACGAAAACTTGAACCGCATCATATGGAACTCCTAATATCGAGATTGATTGTTGATGACCTCTCTTTCTTGATTGCTTTAACATGTCTCTCATCACAGGAGAAGCCATGCCCTGTCAGAAATAACAGCAAGCCTTCATTTGATTACTTTCTTTACTTTTAAAAAAAAAAAAAAAAAAAAAAACAGATATTTCTGGGTAGATCATATTTCTGTTTTCTGAAATCAGCTTAACTAAATGATGTTTAGCTAGTGAACTTACAAGAATGCTAGAATGCGCATAAATGATGCCACCATTCTCTGTTTGGATGAATACATCCGCTCTGTAACCTTCATCAAAGAGGCGATCCCACGAATCTTTCATCGCGGTAGGGACGCAGTATGATGATCTGTTCGTCACTGACCTCTTACAATAACCGGTTGATGCTCCAGACGGCGGTGGTGGAGGGAGAGGAATTTTCTCGGTAACAAGGTCATCAGATCCCCAAAAAACACTTTCCATCTTCATCACTTTTTCTGTGCCGCGATCTGGAAAAGTACAAGAAGAACAATCAAAATAGATTCTTATTCCCAACTTTAGCATATGAGAAATCTATATGACTTCACAAAGATTTAAGGATTGATCATTCAAGAAAATAAAAAAAAGTTAACCCTTTTATTTTCTTGTTAAGGTCATTTAAAAATCAAATGAAATTATATCTCAGAAAAGATGAATATGAAGACTTATATAAGAATGAAATGAAGAGCAACTTGCATAAGCATGATGAGATTTCAATTGCTAGTGCCTAGTATAATAATTAATGGACGTGCCACATACATTAACTGATTAAGATCTTCCAGATAAAAATGCACGGTTCATGACCTTTATGTGGGTCCTAGAAAAATATAAACAGGCTCTAAGAATCAATCAAAATGATTTCAGCTTTGTTTATGCTCGTCAATTTATGATGTCAATGAGCCGAAATTCAATCACGCAAGTTGGGAAAAATAGCGATGCAGCCTTCCCAAAATATCTACATCAGTCACTTTCATGGCTAGTTGTAACAAAATATACAAATAAAAGAAAAATTACTGTTTGAGACCATTTTCAATTCAACTTTGGCGACAGAAAAATGAACCAAGAACAAATATTGCTAATGAAATATTTAGAAGAAAACACTCTTTTGATATTACAAAGAGAGAAAACACAATCAATAATAAATAAATTGTAAGAGACAAAAAAAAAAAAAAGGAAATATCACATACCCTTTGTTGTGTTTATCAAGTGCAGGCCTGCAGACGAGAAGAGGAGAGATTTTGAGGTCAGAACTCAAAATCCTTATTACCCAATGCCAATGGCCAATTCTATATCCAAATGAACTACTAAAACCCGTTATATATATATGTATGTATATATATATAAATATATATCTGCAATAATCTCCTCCAAAAAACTCTTGACCCTTTTGTGGATAAGAAAAATTGAAAATGAAGATGAGGATGAATCAAAAAGAATCTTAATGGGATCTATTCAAATTCAATGTTTCTCTCTTTGGAATGGATTTGGTCGTTAAAAACGGAGCGGTTTGTGATGTTTGCTAATGTAAACAGAGATCTTCTTTTTCCTCTTGTTATTGTCTTTGTAATCTCTTTGCTTTATAATTATGTAGAAAATAGAACTGGTCTTCTTTTTCTGGCAAGAAAACAGAGCAGAAACAGCGTAGCATCTCGTTTTTGGTAAGAGTTTTGCTGAATCGGATCCACCTGAGAAAAAAGTTATCGCCTTTATCCCTTCTGCTTACGCGTTTCTCTTTCTTCTTTTTTGGGTCGGCAACTACCTCAACTGTCGTTTTGCATAATCCTCACGTTTTACACGTCATCGGATCCACCTGAGAAAAAAGTTATCGCCTTTATCCCTTCTGCTTACGCGTTTCTCTTTCTTCTTTTTTGGGTCGGCAACTACCTCAACTGTCGTTTTGCATAATCCTCACGTTTTACACGTCTTTTTTTTTTTTTTTTTTTGAGATTTTAAAATTTTCAGACAAATAAATGTTTTTTTTTTTTCATTTTTGAGATTTTAACATTTTCAGAGAAATACATTTTTTTTAATGGAAACCTCGATGGTGAACACCCATTTTTACTCCACCAGTAGAGTACTACATTTTTAATTTTTGAATTAATTTTTTAATAGTTTAATCTGTACATATTTGTATTAAAAATTTACAATACATCGTATATAATTATTTTTATTATAAATATGACAATTAAAAAAGTAATCTAACGGTCCACCGGTGGAGAAAAATTGGTGTTCCATCATAGAAGTTCCCTTTATTTATATATATATATATATATATATATATATATAACACGGGATTAAACCACAATAAATGTTTATTTTGTGTGTGTGTTCTTTTTATTGAAATAATATTTTTAATTTGTTAAAAGACGAAAATGCACGTGTAATTTTATATAACCAGGGACAGCTAAATACAAAATTAATAGATCGGAGAAAAGTTGACTTAAAACTAATAACTTAAAGGCGCATTTATAGAATAATAAGTAGTGACTTGTCTTTACTTTATTAGTATTTTAGATAGAAGGGGTGACGATTTAAATAGTTTAGTAGGTGAAATGATTTTTTTTTTTTAAAGTTTGGGGCAGTTAAACTAGAGTATATAATTCATGATCTAGAGTATATAATTCATGATGTATCTATAAATTAATTTTATTCAAAAATATAATGTAAAAATTTGAACTAAGAGAAAATACAAAGGATGCTTTTCAAAACAAAAAAAATACAAAGTATGTTTTTGGAAGTTTTTTTAACTTTTGGAGGGAGCCTTTAAACATACATAAGCTTTTTCCAAAGAAGAACAATAATATTTTTTTTAGATTTTTTTTATAGGCCTCTTTAACTATTAAATTTAATTAAATCACATTAAATTAAATATATATATAAAATAAATAATTTTTAATACAGATTTAAATCCTATGGAAGAAACTCATTAAAAAATATTGCTTTTTGTGTTTGGATATCATTGTTTTGCAGATCACGATCCAGCTAGTTTTGGCGTGGCATTTAATTTGCACATTATTTTAATGGGATTTTCTTTGTAACTGTTATTTCTTTTATATTGTTATTGTATTGTTAGAAGCAATGTCGTTCACACACTTGAAAAGAGATGGCATTTACAAAAAAGAAAAAAAAAATATATTGTGAATGGCTATTAACGTCTAAACACTTGTTGTTCACTTCCACCTATCTTACACGTCCTCAACTTGATTTGATTTTTTTTTTTTTTTTTTTTTTTTTTTTGGGATAAGTAATGTATTTTCTTGCTTTGGGCCTCTGGGAAAGTTTGATGAATTTTCTCGTATCTGAAAGGAATTAGGAAAGTATGGCTTGAACGTGTAGGAGCACAGATTAATAAATAAATAAATAAATAAATAAATAAATAAGAAGAACCTTGCACATTTGTCCTCTTAAATTTATAGGATTTTGACAACGTATCCCATGTATTTTTAATTTTGACAACTTAACCCCTTTTGAACTTACAAAATTATTGTAATGCGTTTCATTTTATCAATTTTACTCTTTTTTTTTTTTTTTGGTTAAATTAAGGGATTGAAAGTTGGAAATTGAGAGTATGTGTTATGGTTAGAATTCCTTTGTCACAAATTTAACACGATCATCATTAAAATGAAGTAAATTACAATAGTTTTACAAGTTTAAGTGTTAACTGTCAATTAAAAATTTAGGAAATAAATTGTCAAAACCTTACAAATTCAAAGGGCAAATGTACAAAATACTAAAAAAAAAAAAAAAAAAAAAAAAAAAAAAAAACAATTGTGCATCATCAATTCAAGTCTGTGTGCGTAGTGATTAATAGTTTCTTTTTATTAAGAGAAATTGGAGTCCCCTTTTTTTTTAGTAAAATAGATCCAAGCATTTTAAAAGAAGCACAAAATCAAGATGTTGAATTTCATTATTCATGTATTATCAACAATTCATGGACATACCTTGATTTATGATTCAGTTGTTACCTTCACCAAGAGAAATAATTGAGCCGCTTTTCTTTTTCGATCACTCAATAATTTGGTGGCCACATTATGTCTAATAAAAAAACTTTCAAAATACTTGTCCAATTAAGTATGATAAGATTATATGTATATAATGTATGAGATTATTTTTTTTTCTCAATTTATAAGATTATATTAAATCGATGACAATATCCTATCACATGAAAGATCTCAATCTTTTTTACGTTAAAATAAGGAGTGATTTTAGATTTCAAGTGATTGGTAAGTAGGGAGGGTGACAACGCTACTGATCCTTTTGTTTTCTTAGAAAATTAATCACTTTTTTATGTATTTTGCTGATGAGTACTTTTTAAGAGAATCTATAATACAATGTTATAATTGATGTGTTTATTACGAATTTAGTATTTAAGTGTAAAAGTACTTTTCAATACAATGCTATTTATTGTGTCAAAGATTTGTTATATGCTATATACTTTTGTGGCAAATTTTGCACCAATTATAACATGCAATAAATTTAAAATTTAATTGTTATTAATTTATATGTCTACTTTTTTATTTAACTATGGCAACTTTTGCAAGGACATGATATATTACACTAGGGGTGTGCAACAAACCATTCAAACTAAACCAATTAATAATCGGTTCAGTTTGGTTTAAATTTTTTAAAAATCAATTAAATTGGTTTGGTTTGTGATTTTATCCTTTGGTTTGTGATTTTAACCTTTAAAAAATCAAACCAATTCAATTTATATATATATTTTAAAAATTATATATATATATTTTAAATTATATATATTTTTAGATCTGTAACATATTCATATATAAAAATTACGTTTATTCCAATATTAAATGATTATAACCCTAGAAATTTCTATTATAAGAAATGTTTATCATACAAAATATTAGTATCAGTTACGATTAAAGAGGTTTGAGAAGAGGTTGTAAAATATTAATTCAAACCATTAGAAAAACCAAACCAAACCAATTACAATCGGTTTTGGTTTAGACCGGATTAGATCTCTTAATTGGTTTGTTTTGGTTTGAAAATCTCTAAACCAATTTGTAATTAGTTTGTTTTGGATTGAAAATCTCTATAATTGGTTTGTTTTGGTTTGAAAATCTCTAAACCAATTTGTAATTAGTTTGTTTTGGATTGAAAATCTCTATAATTGGTTTGGTTTGTATTTCACCTAAATAAACGGTTTGGTTAGTTTGCACACCCTTATGTAATGCTAATTCAAGTTTCTTACTATTACTATCAAGAATTCCAATTTCTTATCCTGGAAAAAAAAAAATTTGATTCTAATATTATTAACACCTTGCACAATTCTAAAATACCATCTGTCTTGAATACCCTAACACTCTTAAGATTTATACTGTTTCTTTATCTCAATAATAGGATCTGTTGTTTCTATTTTCATGTTTTATTGACTATTCTTTCATTGTTTATTTATCATGTTATTTAAATTTAACAATCTTACTACATGAATAAAAACTAAATATTAAAAATATTTAAATAATTTATGAGGTGTTAAAATTTAATTAAAAGACAATCATCGAGATAGAAAAAATAGGAGAACATATCTTGACTCTACTAATACTGCTTAGAGTTTGTCGCTTTCAAAATACTTGGAACCTTAGTTATGTGAGAGAGAGAGAGAGAGAGAGAGAGAGAGAGAGAGAGAGAGAGAGAGAGAGAGAGAGAGAGAGAGAGAGAGAGAGAGAGAGAGAGAGAGAGAGAGAGAATTACTGCTTAGAGTTTGTCGCTTTCAAATTTTTTACGTTTAGGGTTGTTAAAAATGGTATATGAGTGTATATTATAACTCTTAAAGAGAAAATTAGTAATAACAACTATTGTTTAGAAGCGTCATCTTATTGAAAATTGGTGTAAACTAAGTTAGGTACTACTTTTAAAGTCTAGTTATATATTTACATGTGTGATTTTTACGCATAATTAAGCTTAATTTCTTCACAACTATGATATATTTGTATGCAATTTTCTAAAACTACTATTCTTCTGAGGGTAATTAGCCATATTAGTCTTTGAATAGTGTATATTGTGTAATTTTGGTTCTCAAACTTCTAATTTTGCCAAGTAACTCTTTGAACTTTTGATTTTTGACCACTTTAGTCGTGCACACTAAAATTGACAAATGACCCCTGAAATTTCTTAAAGATAATCGCGTTGCAGAGCTATGGTAACTAAAATTTTAACAGAAATAATTACACTAAATTAAAAATTTTTTTTTTAATGATTTGTACTAACTGTGAAGAGAATATTTAGTATTTAACGTAACTATTATTTATCTGGGAGGTGACGATTTATCTCAAATTTCAAAAACCCATCATAAATTTTTTAAAAATAAAAAATTTAATAGTTAATTTTTCAGACTAAAGCGACAGAATCAACATAATAAATTAACTCATCTTCCCAGTCACCCCTTGAAACTTTGAGGGGTCCATCTAATTTGCCGTAAAGCCCAAGCTATTTTGGACGTGGAAAGATGAAAGCCCGAGTTTCTACTTGGACCTTACAATGAGGCCCTTCTATGCAGTCCAGGCTGACTGAAGGAATGCAGTTCCTTCTAACCAAATCAGATAAAGTTTTTTTTATCGAAAATAAGTAGAAAATATGCCAATACGAAAAGTTTAAAAAAATAAATAAGTTAATTTTTAGTTATAAAAATTAATATGCTATAACTTGTTAAGTTATGGTTCATAACCAGATA